TGAGTCTAGAAAACCCTGTTTCCAGCCCAAGGGAGGGAGGGAGGGAGGCAAGGGAACAAGGCCTGCCTGCCTCTTAATTCCTGTCACACCTGCCCCACGTGGGATTCTTGGGAAAGAAAGACCTTCAACTCCATTTGTGCAAAAGTTATACTTTTATAAAGACCAAGTGGTTACAGCTCAGCAAAGCCAGAACTAAAAGTTTGCACGCGAATGTTCCCTAGTTAACTTTCCCTTTCCCATGCATCTCCCCTATTGTCCAGTTACATTCAAAGGATTTGTTTTGGTAACCATCTGCACTGGCAGGCTAGATGGTGAGCCATTGCATTTTTCCTCCCAGGCCTCTTGGGACAGACGATGAGCTGATGTCTTGGGATGGCATGATGAGTAGCTTTGGTTTCCCCCTTCCCAGCAATTCCCTCTCCCGTACTTTATGGCAGGCTGGCATTTAGCAAAACCAGGCTGTTCTGTTACAGCAGTTCTGGCCATTCCTAGGCCTGCTACGATATGCTCTCAGAAGTGGCTGGCTGGTCTTTGGTCAGTTTGTGAAGGCAGTCCAGAGTTCTGACCAGTAGGCTCAGGCAACTGACCAAGGGCAAATATTGGGCAACCCAAGAGATTATCCAGACCACCCCCAAATTCCATGACACAATGGAATGTAGGTAGGCAGAATAACCCTCTCTCTTTCTACATCTGAAGCTAGGCAGGGAGGATTGAAGTTAAGAAATTAGGGCAAAGGGAAAAACAAAACATTAATCTACAAGGCTACACACATGTCAACAGTAGTTTTGAAGCACAGAAGCTCTCTGCTGTTCATTATTTACTTACTCAATTTATATAACTGCCCACTCATGAGTGACTCTGAGCATCTAACAGGGTTAGAAATGTCACTGCATAAAAGCAACAATAAAAGGGTAAAACACACAGCATGTCAGGAGCAAAACACCATCTGTTTACGGTAGATGTATCTGTCATCCTGGGGGAAGAATCAACTCTTGAACCCAACAGCCTCCTTGAACCCAACAGGGCCAGGTCCACTGGATCTTGACAGGAGGCTTTTCCATAGGCAGGCACTATGTCAGAGAAGTTGTGCCTTCTGGACTCCACAGGGTGACTGTATTTAGTTGATGGGACCCAGAACTCATCAAATTTGCAGATGACACTAAACTGGTAGGAATAGCCAACACCCCAGAAAACAAGCTCGGGATCCAGATAGATCTTGACAGATAGGAACACTGGGCCCTACCTAACAAAATGAAATTCAGTGTAGAGAAAAGTAAGGTTTTACACTTAGGGGGAAAAAACCCTTTGTACAGGTATAGACTGGATGAAACCTGGTTCAATAGCAGTAACTGTGAGAGGGATCTTGGAATCCTAGTGGGCAATCACTTAAATATGAGCTAATAGTATGCAGCAGCAGCCAAAAGAGCCAATGCATAAACAGATAGAATCAAGATCACGTGAAATATTAGTACCGCTTTACAATGCCTTAGTAGTTAGACCAGAGCTGAAATGCTGCATCCAGTTTTGGTCACCTCAATATAAAAAAGATGTTGAGACTTTGGAAAAAGTGCAGAGAAGAGCAACTAAGATGATTAAAGGTCTGGAGACTAAAACGTATGAAGAACAGTTGCAGGACTTGGGTATGGCCAGTCTAGCGAAAAGAAAGACTAGGGGAGACATGATAGCAGCCTTCCAATATTTGAGGGGCTACCACAAAGATGAACCTATTTTCCAAAGGATGAAGAAGGCAGGACAAAAAACAATGGATGGAAACTAATCAAGGAGAAAAGCAACCTAAAACTAAGGAGAAATGTCCTGACAGAATAATTAATTAATAGTACGGTTTGCCTTCAGAAGTTGTGAGTGCTCCATCACTGGAGGCTTTTAAGAAGAGACTGGACAGCCACTTGTCTGAAATGATATAGGGCAGTGGTTCCCAACCTTTTCTATTCTCCACACCCCTAGAACGCTTCTGATACATTCTCGCACCCCTTACAAAAGTTCAAAATAATGGCAACAAATTATGCATATACACTGTAATTTTGAAAACCCAAGTTTTCGCACCCCTTGGAATATCATCTTGCACCCCCAGGGGGTGCAAACAGCCCTGGTTGGGAACTCCTGATATAGGGTCTCCTGCTTGAGTGGGGGGGGGAACTAAAAGACCTCCAAGGTCCCTTCCAATTCTGTTATTCTATGTTCTTACCCTGCTGGATCTTGGAGGACAGGCAGAGATAATTAAAGTAGCCACATGCTTTTGCAACAAAAGCTCTAAAAAGCACGGCTACTTTCATGTCTAAGACAAAGGTGCCGTGTTTGCCCTCGCCTGAGTCTTAGAGGCCTCCTCAGTAATTTATGAAGCATGGATATTGATCTCCATGCAGCCCTCTTCTTCAAGAAGAAATCCAGGTTGGGATTCCCAATGAGATGTGGATATTTGCTCCTCGGGGACTCTCCTCCCACCACACACACACACACACACACACACACACACTGTAGAATGATGGGCATATCTTGCATGTGCTTCAGTTACCCGCAGCAGCAAAGAGCAGAGACTGACTGCGGGTAGATATACTGCAGGAGAGACAGGCAACTGGTCGGGAGGCTGAACTGTGCCCTGGTTGTGGGGCCCAGGTCATCCTCCTGACTGACTGCCGACCAGCCCTCCCAATGGGAAGAGCGCTGGAAGGGCTGAAACGCTTCCTCCTTTTTTCACTTGTTTGGGAGAAATTAAGAGTCAAAATGGAGACGTTTTGCTCATGGTGGTCTCAAGTTTGCTTTCCCATCCTTTGCTCAATCTCTAAAGCAAGTGAAAATTGTCCTGCCAAAATAGACCATTTTGCCATCTAATTTCAGGGGTACTTCAGGGGTAAATGGGGGCCTCACCTGAGCTATGGTTGCTCATACTTGATTTGGGAGAACTTATTGATTCGTTGATAGGTAAGGGATCTAATCGTCAGTCAGGGGCCTCCTTGGGAAATCTCAGCGGAGCCTCCCTTTTGGGAAGGCATTCTCATGGGGTGGTTGTGAGGCAAAGGCCTCTGAAGAGCAGCAGATAAACAGAGCTTCAGATAATTTCCAAGGGGCTTGAGGGCCACACAGATTACGACTGCACCTGTATGCCCCAGCACTGCCATCCATCATTCACATCAGATCCATGGGCTTCGCCATGTGGGGAAGGGATCTCCCTCAAGCCAAGGGGAACAAGATTAGGGCAGCAAAGCGAGGCCCCATTCATATGTCTCAGAAAGCCTGTGCCTATGTGAACTACATGCCTAGAAACCAGGGCACAGATTCTGCTGCCAGGATGAGTGAGGGGACAGCCACGGCCTCCAAGCAAAGGAGAAGGGCAGGGGCCTCCGGATGTTGCTGCAACACCTGATTGTCAGACCTGCCCCAACTTGGATCCTTAGGAAAGAAAGACCCACGACTCCGTTTGGTTGAAGTGATTTGTTTTGGTTCTTTTACTAAAGACAAATGGTTGCATCAAAAGTAAGGCTGGATCTGTGTGTTCCTTCGCAAAAGGTTACAATTTCCCCCACTCCCTGGCCCTTCCCCCTTAACCACTTCAACAGTGTGCAATAGCATTTGTGTTTGATGTTTTGGGAACTGCTTTGAAGCTGGGTGCTTCTCAAAGTAGTTTCATATTCCGTTCCCAGGCCAGGTGTCCTTGGTGACTGGTTTATTCCAGTTTGACACCTCTGGTTCCTGTCAACTTGTCCCCTCTCCCTTTCTTCGTCTTCTTCTCTCCAGCCCAATCTTCCCTAAATTCCTTCCCTCCCCACTTTCGGTTTATGGCAGGATGCCAACAAAGCGAAGCAGCTAAAGATGGCAGACCTGGCACTAATTCTTGGCAGATTCCTCCTTTCCAGTTTGCCCAGTGAAGGATAATTAAGCTGAACCTCTCCCACATTCTGACCAGGTAGGGAGTCCTTAACTCTCTGCCTCTGGCCCAGCACCAGGGAAATACGGAGGAAGCCCAGAAGCGTAGAACGTGATAAATCTCAGCAACTAGTTGATTAGCAATGTCGGCAATGAAGACTTAATGAGAAATAAGGTTTGTTAAACTAATGCAGTAGTTCCAGTTCTCTAGATCAGGAGTTTTTGAGCTGTGGATCAGGTCACAGTGGTATGTGCAAGTGTGTGCGTGCTCAAGGCTACCCTTGTGAAATAAATATTCAGTTATTAAGAGTAAGTGCAATTGTTATTTATTATGCAACCTTGACACCAGCTAAATCATTTGTTTTATTTGTGGGGAGAGGGTGTCATATAATTTAATTGATCATTTGGGGGGGTTGTAGTATTCCAAGCTATTACTCAAATTATAGAATAATAAGAAGAAAAGGGGAACACACACATACACACACACACACACACACACAAGAGAAGGCTATGCTCATACAAAATGTCACAAAAAATCAATATACCATCATACAACATTAATTGCTCTTTACTTCTTTAAAAAAGATCTCCAATCTTTCAGAGTGGGCAACTATAATAAATTTAATAAATCATCATCATCTTCATTATAATCTTAGATCTCAGCACATGTCCATCATAGAGGACAGACCGGTTGGAGAGAGATCACCTGAGCCTCCTGCTTGGATGTCATTAGGCAGGATTCAGGTTGTCTTCTTCTATTAGATCAATTTTCACAGGTTGTGCCACTGTGTAAAAAGGGCCATATGGGAAAACCTGCATTCCATTTGTGGACTCTTCTCAGTGTCAGGTCAGGTCAGAGATGCTCTTGGGTAGGTCACAGGTCAAGTGGTTGAAACCAGAGGTATGGGGCCTGGGGAAGGGATGGCTTATTCTCCAAGAGGTAACCCATATCTCCTTGCACTTGTTCTTGCTTGTTCATGAGTAACGTACATTCAGATTATGACTGCTGTCAAACCTGCTCAGCTTCCTCCTTGGGGAATGGCTAAAGAGGGGAGGCCTGGAGCTTATGTGTATGGACAGGCAGAATCCTCACGTACATCTGTTTTGCCTTGCTCCAGGTGATGCTTTCGGAAAGGAAAGGAACGGATGAACTTTATGCTGTAAAGATTCTGAAGAAGGACGTGGTCATCCAAGATGATGATGTGGAGTGCACCATGGTGGAGAAGCGAGTGCTGGCCCTGGCTGGAAAGCCCCCCTTCCTCACACAGCTTCATTCTTGCTTCCAAACCATGGTAAGCTCCCCCACAACCCTCCGTCCTGAATCCTGCAAAAGTTCCTCAACTGAGTTGAGAATCTTGTCCCTTGAGTGCATTCCTTACGCTAGAAATTTAACCTTGATGCACAAAATTGCCTTGTGTGAGGCATAAGGACCAAAGAAGGCATTGGCAGAAAAGAGAGTCTCATGAGCGGGAAATGGTATCCCCTCTGGAGATTGGACAGCTAAGGCTGTTCAGCAGCAGGAAGTCAAGGATGGGCACAGAAGAAGAAGCAAACTTAAGGCAAGGACAGCGGGACAACTGACAGGAAAGCGAGAGCAGTAAAAGTCAGAGTAGGAGGTCCTGGAGAACAGAGAAACCCCTGGCAGAAAAAAAGCACATGTTTCCTGGCCAGAAGGAAGGGGATTAGCTCTGCATAACTGGACATGGTGGACAGCTTGAAATAACAGCAGGCAGGAAGGCCAAATCAGCAGACATAACCTTGGTTCACCATAGTAGACCACTCTCAGATGTGTAGGGCCTCCCAATCTGGAAAACAGAACAAGCTGTGCACAGGATGGATTTGTGTAAAGTGTAAGAAGGCCCCAGTTACCCACCAGTTGTGTAGACCAAAGGTGGAATGCACCCACAGAGGACCCCTAAAGCCCATAGCAACTCTGTCTTGTGAGGTTGAGCTGAAGATTTCTTTTTCCCATCCAGAATTTCCAGACACAGAATCTTTTTTTAAATAGATATTTTATTAATTTTCTATTTTTACAATTAAGTGCCTAATAGACAACGTGATGACTGAGTCCATTAATGATTCCGTGTTACACACTAAATCCGATATTACACCCTCCAGTACATCCTCTCCTTCTGGTAGTAGACATTTTTCCACACTAAGCAAACACAATTCTTATTGTTGTTAGTAAATATACAATTGCCTATCAACATTTGTTACATTTTTCTAATTGGGTCAATAATATCAGTTTAGAATATCTTTTCTAACCAAAGTATATCTTAACTGCATTTGCATTCAATATCCACTAATTCAGTCCATATCCTATTTTTGCTTTTTTCAATTTTAATTTCCCATCCATGTTCAAAATATCCCAATCATTTATAATTTCAGAACAAGTTATATTTGAGACTTCTGGTTTGGAGGTTGCAGCGAAGCAGACACAGGAAGACGGGGATCTGTCTTCCATGTTTGGTTTCGCCCTGCTGGGGGACCCTGGAAACGGTCGAAAGTTGCCCCGTAAAAGCGGCAAGCAAGGAGGGGACTCTCATTGATCGTGGGGGTGGGTGGGGGGAGGGCTGCCCTCCAAACGGGTGAGGGAAAGACTGGCTGCATTTGTGTAGCCAGTCCGAAGCTGCTGACAATGGAAGTCAACAAGCACTACCAAGAACTTTACAGCAACGTAGATGAAACTGAGTGAGACCTGATCCTTTCTTTATGATTTTAAGACCTTTTCCTGAAAATATGCCTAAAGCACTTCCCCTGATGACAGGGAAAGGGAATTTCCGCCCCATTCCCTCAGAAAAGAAAAGCGGCGAATTAATTACTTGGGGAAAATGGCGAAACCTATAAGACTGATCTGGAATTAATATATACATACAGCTTGAAAATATGGGGACTAAAGTGTTTTTAAGACTTGAAAAGTTTACAATATAAGTTTTGGATCTAAAAACTGGAAAGCGGAGTTGATGACATCTAGTGGTGAATTACGGCACTACACCTTATTTATGCCTAAAAGAAACCTGGCTTGATGCCCAGAACTAGATAAGACTTTGGCTGGCCTTGGAAGCTTTTACTATTGAGGATTGCAGCTGAGAAAAAAGGAACAGGCTTGGGGGCTGCTTATCTGTGTGGCAGAGATGATAAACATTCTAAATTTGACCTGTCTGAATTTTGAACATAAATACTGACTTTCAGAACTGTATTGTGGATTTATTTTCTTGTAGAAGAAACATATGGAACACTTTGGATCATACATCTTGATTGTTAAACAACCTTCAATGGTTCTTTTTTCTCCCTGGACAGAAAGGATATATTTCTTACTGGACAGAAAAAATTGAATTTTACTTATATCTGCTTAGGGGAGATTCAGGAATGGACAGTTGCTTGGAGAGAATTTCTTTCTGTGGTTCATCAGTATTTTTGGGGTGATATGGCAAACTGAGGCTTCTGGAGACAGATGTTAAGGATGGCTCTTTACTATTTAGAGCTAAGTATGGAACATTCATTTTTATTTTTTGTAGGTAGCTGTTCTGAAACCTCCCCTAAGCAGATATAAGTAAAATTCATTTTTTTCTGTCCAATGAGAAATATATCCTTTCTGTCCAGGGAGAAAAAAGAACCACTAAAGGTTGTTTAACAATCAAGAGTTATAATCTAAAGTGTTCCATCATATCAGGCAATAGTGTATGTTTCTTCTACAGGAAAATAGTTCCACAATACAGCTCTGAAAGTCAGTATTTGTGTTCATAGTTCATACAGGCCAATTTTAGAGTAATATTATCTTCTCTGCCACACAGATAAGCAGCCCCCAAGTCTGTTCCTTTTTTCTCAGCTGCAATTCTCAAAAGTAAAAGCTTCCAAGGCCAGCCAAAGTCTTACCTAGCTCTGGGCTTCTAGCCAGGTTCTTTTAGGCATAAATAAGGTGTAGTGCTGCAATTCACCACTAGATGTCATCAATGCCGTTTTTCAGTTTTTAAATCCAAAACTTATATTGTAAACTTTTCAAGTCTTTCTTTTTTTTAAAAAAGGTCTTAACAACACTTTTAGTCCCCAAATTTCCAAGTGATATGTATATATTAATTCCAAATTTAGTCTTGTATGTTTCTCCTTTTTCCACAAGTAATTAATTCACCGCTTTCCTGAGGGAATGGGGTGAAAAATCTCTTTCCCTCCTCGAGGGGAGTGCTTTGGGCAGATTTTCAGGAAGTGGTCTTAAAGTCATAAAGAGAGGCTTAGGTCTCACCCAGTTTTATCCATATTGCTGTAAGATTGCTTAATAGTGTTTGTTGTCTTCCGTTTGCAGCAGCTTCTGACTGGCTACGTGAATGTAGCCAGTCTTTCCGCCGCCAGTTTGGAGAGCTTCCTCAGATCAAATGGGAGGGCTGCCACCCCCCCACCCCCCGCGATCAACAAGAGTCTCCTCCTTGCTTGCCACCTCTATGGGGTGACTTTCGACACTTTCCAGGGTCCCCCAGCGGGGCGAAATCAAACGCAAACGATGCAGCCCCATCTTTCTGTGTCTGCTTCACTGCAACGTCAAAATCAGACATGGAGAGAATCTTGATGGCCTCACTTATTCAGCCTAGGCTAAAGATGCATAAGTGGGTGTTATTGGCATGGAGTTATCTGATCTATGCCAGCCGATGCTGCTGCTCAGTGCCTTTATGTAGGTTTTAAATCAGAGCCCAGAGAGAGAAGCTTTAGGCCATGGAGAAAGGTGAAGAAATAATATAAAGTAAAACTCCCCCCCCAAACCTCAAAGGTGGTCCAGGAAGATGCCATCTTCAATGGTATTGAAAGCACTGAGAGATAAAGTAAGGCTAAGATGGATTTACTACCTCCACCCCAGTCTCAGCAGAGGTCATCTGAAAGAGTGAGGAATGCTGTCTCAGTGGACTGGAGAGAGGTCCAGACAGCCCATTTCATCCAACATCCCCTGTAGCTGTAAGCCAACCATCCTTTCTTCAACCTAATCCAGAGAATCCAACTACATCTGCAAAGAAAGAGAAACACGCAGGTATAACTTAATCCAAAGCCAGGGGCATTCCCTCCTGAGGGGAGAAGGATCTCAGGTGAACTGTATATCAGAGCTCCAGAGATAGCCCTAAGCTCTTTTCAAAATCTAGGGCAGGGGTCCCCAACCCCCAGTCCCTGGACCGGCACTGGTCCGCAGCATGCCAGCAACCAGTCTGTACAAACAAGCGAAGCCCCGTCCACGGTATGCAGGCAGCACACAAAACCACGGCCCTTCCTATCCGCGGAAAAGCCTTTCTCCCCAGAACTGGTCCCTGGTGTCCAAAAGGTTGGGGGCCACTGCTCTAGAGATAATGGAATGACATGACCACATCAGGAGATTGTGATATTACCCAATTCCAGATTGCATCCTCGCTGTTAAAGAGTGGGGGCAGGAACCTGTTACATCCTGGAGTGACCTGCAGATAGGAATTCTATTCTACATCTCAATTAGCATCAGTTACTTTCGGTTTTCTTTCTAATTCTCCATATCAGTGTTTCTCAAGGTCGGCAACTGTAGGAGGTGTGGACTTCAATGGATCACTGGGGAATTCTGGGAATTGGAGTGCACACCTCTTACAGTTGCTGAGCCTGAGAAAGGCTGCTCTCTATATGCCCAACCGGAGTGCAAGGAAGCGACTCATCTGCCAACCTGCCTCACACACCCCCTTTTTCAAAGATAAAGTGGAGCAACAGAAATCAGGAAACCTTCCCTGCAGCAGGTGGGCCATGTTTTTGTAAAACGATTGGCATCCAGAGAAGGGGCAGGGATGCAGTGACTTTGGGAGAGGCAGAGAGGCTGCATAGTGTGTGGGTGTGGGGGGGACAACCCTTTCCAATTTGGATGGGAGGAGAGGTTAAGAGCGCTAATGCCTTTGTTTGGGGGGGATCCTTTTCGCCCCCAAAGCGGCCAACTCTTCTACTGCAATGCAGTGACTTAACACGCTGGATGTTGGAGGCAGGAATTAGGAGGGGGGCTGCAAAGGGCACGAAAGAGGAGCTTTCCCAGCTCTGGCTCAGCACAGAGAGCCGTTCTCCACGCAGCGAAGGACGCCAGGAGCAGCTCCCGCAAAGCGCTTCCTCTCCGGCTGCTTCCAGCTGGCGGCTGATAAGAGCCGAGGAGCTGCGCTGAGAGCACCGCTTCCTCGGCAGCAGCAGCTCTTGGACAGCAACAATGGAGGCTTAGAGGATTACCCCGAGATGCCAGCCCAGCAATTGGAGTTGGCAAAGCCCGCTGGCAGCCGCCAGAACTCCCCGAGCCTCTTTTTGTGATGAAAGGCCAGCGTGCTGAGATCCGCGTCGCCTGACCTTTTTCTGACATCTGAAGTGTGTTGGCAGAGGATTAGAGGGTGCAAACCTGCCTGGGGCTTAGCACTAATCAGACCGGGGACACAATCGCAGGTTGTAGCAGAAGGCGTTAGTTGTCAGAGGCAGAGATGAAGGAGCAGTTGTGGCCCAGCTGCTCATTCCAAGCACGGGAACCATCTCTCTCCATCTCAGCAGGGTGTGTGGGAGGTGATGGGGGGTTTAACCAATTGCTCAATATTTCAGGAGCCTGGGGGGCTCCCAGATGATCCCCAGATGCCAGGTGTGTGTGAGCTGTGCCCGCTAGGATTTTCAGATGAGGCTCCAGCAGCTCTCCTAAGCTGAAAGCATCTGTGGGGCCCACGGGTGTATGTAAAAAAGTCAAGGTGGTACCTGCAGCCACATGATTGGCACCCGCTCCATTTGTACGTATATTGTATGTGATGCACAATTGGTGTAAAACTAGGGGCAGAATAACAAAATAACAGAGTTGAAATGGACCTTGGAGTCCAAGCCCCTGCTCTAGCAGGAGACCCTGGATCAGGGGTATTCAACTTTAAGACTTGTGGAGCAGCATGGCTGGCTGGGGAATTCTGGGAGTTGAAGTCTACAAATCTTAAAAGTTCCCAAGGTTGGACATCCTTATTCTATACTATTACAGTCAAATGGCTGTCCAATCTTTTCTTGAAAACCTCCAGTGATGGAGTTCCCGCAACTGCTGAAGGCAAGCCCTTCCAATGGCTAATAGCTGTCAGGGCAGGGTGTCAGTGGTGCGGTTGTGACTGCCATCTGGACTTTTCTGTCCCCACTCCACCCCCAGTGGTAGATGCCCCTGCCTCAACCTGCTGCCCACAACCAGGCGCAAAGGAAGTTCCTACAGGAAACAACCTTGGCCTGATCCCCTCCACGGGGGTCCTGAACAAAGGAGCTCAGTGTAGCCAATTAAAAGACCATTCAAACCCCAAATCCACCCCTCCCACTTGCCTTGTCTCTCCCCTAATCTAGAAATGTCTCTTTTAAGTCCTCATCTTCCTCCTCCCTGCTCTGTCCCCGCTCCTCTCCCACCAGCTGTGCTTTCCTTCAATATGTCTAATCCCACACAAGGAAGTCAAAGATATTTTTTTTTCTTTTTAATACCAAAAAGGCAACCAAATCTTTTCTTTCATCAGGATTTAAGTTGTCTATTGCAGTGGCTGCAACAGAGTAGCAGTGTCCTGGTGAGGACCTGCTCCTCCCCACTTTTTTCAGCTCAGCATTATGGAATGGCATCCCGCAGGACACAGGAGCTTCTTCCGGCTGGCTACAAAGTCAGGAAACAGGCTGCAGGAGGAGGTCACCAAAGGCAAGGCGATGACCCCGGTGGTACTATCAAAGCTGTGCTTGCTTTTGACATGCATGGCACATGCTTCAATTGCACAGCTGCGGCCACCGCCTTGACTTTGCAGTCCAGGTCCCACAGATGCCCCTTGGCAGAGCCTTCCCAACTGAGAGTGGCTTGCAAGGCACCCAAGAGGCCCAGCATGGTGCTCCATTGCTTCTTCTGACTTTGGTTAAGCATCTTCCACCATTTTTCTCCCCCTTTCTCTCAGGACCGCTTGTATTTTGTGATGGAGTACGTCAACGGTGGCGACCTCATGTATCAGATCCAACAGGTTGGGCGATTCAAGGAGCCCCACGCTGTGTAAGTCACCGGTCCAGGCTGTGCCTGGGGGGAGGTGGGGAGGTGAGGATTTCTCCCTCTCCCTCTGAGGATCGATGCCAAGGGCCTCCAGGGCCCAGGGCCCAGGTGGCAACTCCTGGCCTCTCCATTGCTCTCCCTTCTTGAATGGCAGGTTCTATGCAGCCGAGATCGCCGTGGGCCTTTTCTTCCTGCACTGCAAAGGAATCATTTATCGGTAGGTGGGCTCCTTTCCTCTCTACGGCTTCCCAACCTCTGCCCTGGTAGTTCCCAGGCTCTGCTGTGCCCCACGCCCACTGCCAGCCAAAGCCTTCCTCGCCTCAGCAGCCCCACTGGGATTGTCTTGATCAGAAGAGGCAGGGCTTTGAGGCAGCCTTTCCTTGGCTTCTCATACTTCTGTAGGCTTGATGAGACACAAGCAGATGGATGAGTCACAGAGGGGGAATTGGCAGGCCTGGGACGTAGACTTCCTCTTGGGGCTCATCTGCTCTGCTCCCTGTAGCCTGGCATCCGGGAAGCATCCAGAGGTCCCCCAGTGGGACTTCTGGGGAAGCAGCAGCAGCAGCAGCAGAAATGCAGAGCAGGAGCCTCAGATCCCAGCAAGAGCCCTAAGGCCCTAGAGGGGGGGACAGCAGGTGACCTGGCCTCCCCAGTGTCTTCTGGAGAAGCAACCATCTCAACGTCCAGGCGAAAAGCCTTTATTCCCTGCTCCTCCCCTCCCCCGCTCATTCTGCATGCTGCATCGCCTCCTCTGCTGCCGGCCTTCCCCCAAGTACGCTCTTACCGGCTCTTCGGATAGCAGTTTGGGAATGACGCGGCGGCAGCTGTAGGGCGATAGACGGCAGCTGTGTGTGCCGCAAGGTGGCTTTGAACAAGGGCCTGCTGTGCAGGCCTTGATGAAGTGCTACAGACCCTCTCTTGCACACGGCAAAGCCTGTCTCGCAGAAGCACGTACAAGGCCCTCTGCAGAGACAAGCGAGGTCTCTCCCATGGCATTTGTGTTTGGCCCTGGCTCTTCTGACCTTCCACACACTTGCAGAGGCTCCTGCTTTCCCAGTGGAAGAGAGCTGCTTGCTGCTGATCCTTCTAGGATGGAGAACTTGGCGACATGACTTTATTTCCATTTTCCAGTCCTTCCCTAAACCTTGACGGGACCTGCCCAAAGAAGCCTCCAAGGCTCGCTAGAGGCCTCCAAGGCTCACCTGCATCCAGGGCAGGGAAGGCTCTGCTGACCTCCTGGTCCAAAAGAAGGTGGTTGGGGCTTGGACACTTCCGTACTTCAGGAGAAGACAAAAAAATTACAGAAATGTGTCTCTGTATTATGACCATCCCCTGTTTATTCACCTGTTTCCACTATTTGCCTGCTACTCACATCACCAGACTCTGGATTGCTGAGGCAATACAGGTGGTCCTTCACTTACCACCAAAGTTGGGACCAGAACTTCCATTGCTAAACACGATGAGGGTTGAGTGAGTCAGGCCTAATTTTACCAACTTTTTTGCCACCGTTGTTAAGCGAACCGCTGCAGCTCTTAAGTGAACCAGGTGGTCGTTAAGCAAATGTGGCTCCCATCGTTGACTTTGCTTGCCAGAAGCCAGCTGGGAAGCTTGCAGATCTTGAGCTCCTGGCCGCAGGATGCTGGGACTGACGTAGATCATGCTGGGTGCCAAGCGCCTGAATTTTGTTCATGTGACCATGAGGATGCGTGATTCACTTAACAACTGTGGCAAGAAAGGCTGTAAAAATTGGCCACAATCACTTAACAGCTGCCTTGCTTAACCATGGAAATTCTCATCCCAGTTGCAATGATAAGTCAAGGACTACCTATATTCAGCTTCCAACAAAATATCACTCAATGGAACACATTTCTGAATAGAGCTGGAGCTTCCTATTTCAGCTCCAAGATCTGATCTCAGGGATGCCTTTCTCTTCCCTTGCTAACTGCACACTTTCTCTCTCCCTCTCTCTCCCTCTCTCTGTCTCTCTCGCCCTCTCTCTCTCTC